GCAAATGTAGGATACGGTTGCGAAGCTTGTATTATCCTTATTGGTTCAGCCTATTAGAAAGTTATTGGATTGGATTTTTAAATAAATCTTTTTCAAGGATCTTTTCCATGGTGATTCCAAATTCCAAGTGATATTGGAGCTGGGGTTACAGTGGGCAGTACTCACGAGAGATGGGGGCCTCATTCTAAGTTGTGAGAACGAAAAATCAGTTGCAAGTGTACAGTCAGAAATCCAGAGTAAACTTGGTAATAACTATGATGTTGATAGGCCGAAATTATTGGAAAAACGTATTAAGGTTATTGGAATTAATGAATATGAATTTAATAACAGTGAAGAGGAAATTGTATCGAAAGTGGTGAACCAGAATGACCTGGACCCGAATACAAAGTTAAAAATAAAGTACAGATCAAAAGTTCATAATAGTAGATTCAATATTGTGTTTGAAGTTGACAGCAATACTTACAATATACTCATAGAAAAAACAGAGAATGAATATTGGGTGGAATCGGTGCTGGGTACATGATGATTATGGTATCATTAGATGCTTCAAATGTTGTCGTTATGGTCATCAAGTGAAAGACTGCAAAGAAAAGAAAGTATGCCCTAAATGCAGTAATGAACATGATTATAAAGATTGTTCTAGTGATGTTAAATGCTCCAATTATGAATTGTCAAACAGGAAATATGGTCTGAACATGAATACTGTGCATGTTGTCTGGGATGTGAATAAGTGTGGAACCTACCAAAGAATGCAGCGACTTCAAAGAAACAAATTTATTAAGTAGCAGTTGGATGCAAATATTGTCCTATACTCCAGTGTTGCGTATTTCAATTGCCAGGGCTATCTCAACAATAAAGACTATATTACTGCTTTGGTTACATATTGGAAGCCAAGATTACTGTTCGTATCAGACACCCATGGGACTGAAAATGTTGATCCAATAGAACTGATGGATATAATTTAGAACAATGTGTAACAACTAGCCGAAGAACTAATGTTAAATATAAAATTAAAGAAATGCAATGGTCCAGAAATATGTATGGTTGTTATCGCTTGAACTAGGGGGTCAACACCATCGAAGTTTCTATGCACCACATTGTACCATCTGCCCCAGAAAGAAAATACAAATTTTGTTGACTTCTTTGCAGATTACCTTGATCGGGTGAGTGTTTTTGAGGGTACTAATGTTATATTGGGTGATTTCAATTTTGATCACTTGAAGGATTATTTCCATGAAAATAAATTGTTGAAAACTGTATATTCAAATGGATTTAATCACATTGTTAGCTTCCCAACTCGGATTACAGGAACCAGTGCATCTTGAATCGATTACATTGTGACAAATGACAAACGCATCACACATCAAGAGCACCAAACACCGGAAATTAGTGATCATTCCATCTTGACTGTGAATCTTAAAGTTGGCTCCGAAATAGGCCCCGATGTTGTCATTTGGAGAAGAAAACTGATGAATTATAATGTGGAAAATTTCCAGGATGTCCTCTATAATACGGCATGGAACAACAATGTAACCGATGTTAACGTATTGGCAGATTCATTTGTACAAAGTATAACAAACATATTAGAAGTCATGTGCCCAAGAAAAAAATATGTATAGAATTTTTAAATGCCCCTTTAAAAGTACCAGTCGTTCTAGTGACTAAACGTATGTCGCTTCTTGAACAGACAAATAAAATTAGGTTAGAAATTTCCTATTTGTACAGGGTTATCCAACGAAAGTGCTTATATCAAAAATGTGTCCAATATTAGATCAAATACGCAAAATTTTGCTTTAATCCAGCCACACCTCGTTCACATTTTACCAAGGTAAATTACGTAAAAAGTGGATCAGGTGAAGCTGGATTTAAGCAAAATTTTACATATTTCATCTAATATTGGACACATTTTCAATATAATGATTATAAACAATAGTAATAAGCAAGACTAGGCGGGAACTTACCACTCTTACCAGCTTCCAACGATGAAATATAATTTTTTTCGTAATTTATATTGAAAAATCATTGATTAGCGATATCTCCAAAATTGCTGAATTTAATTATAGGACATGTAACATATATCAGGGCTAAAATTTAATGTAGAATCCAAAAACATATTCAAAAATGGATCATTCCATTTAAATTAAGCAAGAAATGTTAAGTTTTTTGCTATATTTTCTAAATCCGCCTTTCCATTTTTTTCAAAAAATGCTCCTAATTCCTCATAAAAATCCCAACAACTTTTATATTTAACATTTTTTTGTACCTCTTCAATCAACAGGTATATAAGGTAAAAAGCACTTTCGTTGGATAACCCTATACATGAATTTGACGTATTAGCAATCGACATTCGTTTCTGTGGAGATACTTGCCTCAGTTGGTTTAGGTCTTATCTTTCTTATAGAGTTCAATGTGTTAAATTTAAGAATAGTGTGTCTGATAGAGTGAATGTAAATTATGGTGTACCTCAGGGAACTGTTCTGGGTCCATTGCTGTTTTTACTATATATAAATTATATAGGTAGTATGTAATGAGTAAAAGTGGAATTGTTTTGTTTGCGGATGACACAATGCTGTACATTACTGGCAGAGATGTGAACCAATTACAACAGATTATGAATGTGGAATTTAATAGATTATATGGGTGGCTCTGTGATAACAATCTTTGTAACGTTGAGAAATCTAAGTTTTGTGTATTTGGTAGAATATCAAGAATAAGGGATATTGATGTAGATAACATAAACATCAGCATGAATAATGGCGCTTTGGTACATGAAAACCAAATCAAGTACCAAATACCAAATACAGTACTGGGAAAAAATTTGAAATTTTTTGGGTGGAAAGAAGAAGGGAAGGAGCTCTTCCCCTGATATCTCGGAAACTACTCTTGTAGGTACTTCTTTAATCATCCCTAAGTCGTCTTTAAGACTCTCATTGAACTTCAACTTATTTTGTTGAAAAATCTCATCTTATCATCATATAACTCTTTTTCAAAAGCCTATTTTGTCTCACGCCTTCTTTGCAATTTTTATGTTAAGCAAAACTTCTTTAAGAAAGACATGTAACATGTAACCTTAACTCTAAATCAATAATCTCATGTGAGTCTGAATTATTTTTCGAAATCTCATACCTATTGTCCGTCGTTTTTAAACTGACTCTCTCTGTATTTGGAGCGAGGGGGTGAAGTACCTATATGACAAAAACAGGTGTGACGTCAGGTGACCATTGGCGTTCTAATGTAGGGTTTCACCATTAGGCCCAGTTTCACAAAGTGTAGTAAACTACTAGTTATGAGATAACTACTAGTTAAAACGAAAGAAGCGTTTTACAATCGACGGTTCAACGTGGCACCTTTAGTTATCCAGTAGTTGAATTAACCCAAGGATGCGTATGAGTTAACTATGAGTTAGCTAAAATGCTTCGTTTTTTAGGGCAGTTCAAGTTTGAAAAGGTAAAATTATTGAATGAAAACTTTTGCTTCTTTTTCCGTTGGTGATACAATTGGAATTAAAATCTGCTCCCACCGTTTTCCAAGCATTTTCTTTTTTTTTTCCACGTCGATGCGCCGCTTTTTTTACATTCTATAATGAACTTATATTTTTGCACGAGAGACATTAATAAATATTCTTCTTCCTTTGAAAAATTTGCAGACCTTTTTTCACTTGACTTCATGATTCTAATTTAAACAGGAAACCCGACACAAAACCCAATATTGAATAGGTATCTGTGAAATTTTACTGCCACTGAAAAAAATTAAGATAATTATTAATGACAAATCACAAATAGTGACGTTATAGTGAAGTTTAGGGGGCCTTTTTCTTATTTTTCAAGGTGGTTTTTAAAATTTTGTCAAAAAATCAAGTACCAACCTTTGAGAAATAAAATTCAACCACTAGTCATTTAACCAACGATTGTTTGTTTAGTGTGAAACAGGTTAATGAGCGAAGTCCCAGTTAACCCCTGACCCCTAGTTGACTCACCAGCCGTGGTTACCACCGATTGTGAAACTGGGCCTTAGTTTCACCAGCTCACATGTCTTTGGAGTATCAGAATAAAATCGACGGACTTTATATCCATAAAGCTTCCTCAATAACATTATACAGCTTTTCTTTGATATGCTCATCTAACTCTTATTATATCATCTATTCTTCTTCAAAGAGCTCATTTTTCTTCACCTCATCTTACTTTTTTTGTTCCACAACATTATCTTATGTTCATCTAAATTTATTTATCCTTCGAGAATTTCATCCAAGTCTTCTTTGAAAAACTCATCTAAATTTCACACAAACTCTTCAAAAACCTTATCCAACTTTGTGTGACTGACAATTGCCTTTTGAGTTTAGGTTGGTGTTATCACACATGCTATGATTGAAAAGTTCTTCTTCGCAAATCGTCTATTGACTCTTTTATCTCAATATCTTGTTCATACCAAACCACAGGTATTATGTACCCTGGCTTGACAATGAAAATTTACGAAAAATATAATTTCACATTTTTTATCCTCCAGCTGATTGTATTTCGGATTATCGCCAATGTCCAATCCGAAACATGGAACATAAAATATTCTATATATGTCGAGCTGATCCAGTCCAATCAAAATGCATAGAGACTTTCATGTCTCGCTGCATTGCATGATCAGTGACGTTAACCTCAATAATCACATCGGGTGGAGATTTTATGGCTTTTATCGACACCGAATTGTGCACCCTGGCGCGGATTTCTACAATCTACAATCGGTAATTTAGATTCGCTTACTAATTAAAAAGGTTTAGCTTTTTTTATGCAAACAAACAACAAATAAATTAAAGGCTAGGTAAATGAACTATAAGCAACAGTGTAAAATTCTAGCGCCTTAAGCTTGAGCTTATTTTACGACCGGTCATAAAGCTACAGATAGCACCAGAGAGGACATTGTTTTAGGTCGAAAAACTAAATTAGTTTTCCAGATTCTACACGGAAATAGATTTTTTCCTTATGAATGAATAGTTTTTCTTTCTGTTTCAGAAAATCCAAGTTTTGTAGCTCCAATCACAAATGTTACAGCTGCAGTTGGTAGAGAAGCAATAATGACCTGTCTAGTGGACAATTTAGGAATTTACAAGGTAAATTATTTATTCATACACACAAAGTTAAGTCGTTGAGGAAATAATTACCTCAATAAAACCAGGGACCCAAATATTCCGAAAACAACCCTACACTTATATCGTTGGCGCGATGTTATCAGATTTTATATCATAAGCCAACAAGGAGTTATTCTAATTTATTGTTATTTATATTTCCTCGCTGACCCTCTTAAAACAGCCCTTCTAGATGTGTGCTGAGCTGGAATGGGACCACCACCGACGTCGTTGAGTTGATTTCCCTTAAAGGGCGCCCTTATTTTATTGTGCTAAGGCATGAAATATGGAGATTTGCATGTGTATATGAAAAATTGAGAGTTTGTCGTTGAATTATCATAATAATTGATTATTGTTTAAATATTACTGGAACAATATTTTTGAGTGAGGGTTTGTCATGCTGAAAAGCAAACCAAGCCAAAGAACCAAAATAAGTTCCTTCATAGAAAAATAATGTGGATTATCGGCTTGTTAAATGAAGGCTGTTGTATTATTGCAGTCGATACAAGTATCGGGATAATAATTGAGTTGGAAGATTATAAATTGTAGATTGTGATTATTGGGGTGCTTAGGTTGTGGACTTCTCCGCACCTTTAGATCTATTGTGCTTTCCCTAATATCTTAGTGGGTTCCAAGATTAGGGCTTTCGGCAGAGGCTATAATGTTCCTGGAATTGGCTTCTTTCACATCCACATCCGTTGAGTAGAGCTCCAGATGGATTAGTCTTCTGCAGCACAATGCGTCACAGTTGCGAAGTATTGGTGACATAGGTCTGATTCCGCTTTGCCTATATTTTCCAGTTGGTAACCCAGAGGGCCCGGACCCATAAGGAGGCCTGTAAGCAGCGTTAGATCCGCTTTACTGAGTTCAATCATTTTCTTTGCGTTTATTGGCTGGGTCGATATGAACTGTTTCGCCTGTCTAAGTTCTGGAAGCGTCTTCCAGCGGAAGGCTTGTTGAGCCTTCACCCAATTCTGTACACTCCCTATTATTTGGCTTTTAGTAATGCCAATGAAAGCTCCTGATCCAAGGAATGGTGTTGTTGCAATTCCTTGTCGTGTACGTTGGTCCGCTATTTCATTCCCCTCGACTCCTTGGTGTCCTGGTATCCGTGACAGGGTGACCCTGTTGCGAGACGCCAGTTGCTTTAGGAGTTGTTGGGAGACCCAGACCAGTCTGGACTTAGTGGCAGAGCTTCTCGGAGCTCTTAGTGCTGTCTTACTGTCGGAATTTATATGAATAAGATACTTTCTAGCGCAAACTTCTATTGCGAATATTTTCGCTTGAAATATGGTTGGGCTTTCTTCTAGGGTTGCTGATAGTCTACAAAGTGGGCCGTATACTCCTGCTCCAGTCGCTTGCTCTGTTTTATATCCGTCTGTTTACCGGACAGATAGCCCGTTCGGAAATACAGGTACGATATTTTCTCCTTTGCGGACCTCAATAATCACTTTGAGGGGCTGTTCAAATTCGTACCTGTATTACATGCGGTCAATTGGTTTTGTTTTCACATATATGCATTCTTTCATAATGCTCAGGTGGCCGACAAAGTCCCCTTCCTGGTTTCAAGGTTCCCATAGAGGCCTCTTTCTCTACTATTATATCTAGTGGGGGGAGATCGAACATAACCTCCATTGCGGCGGTTGGACAGGTGTTCATTGCTCCTGTAATTCCAAGACATGCATACCTTTGTACAGTAGCCAATCAGTTTTGCGCTGTCTATTGTTTTACGTTTGGTCATCATACTATTGTAGCGTAGATGACATCTATAAACCATTGTAAATGACCAATGGATCATTTTTGTCTTTAGACTTTAAGTCTTGCTGAATAGTCTCGGGCATGTCCAGTATGTGGCTATTACCCAGTCGGTTACTCTTCTAAGATGTTGGTTCCTGATCCAGGATGACTCCCAGATATTTCACCTTACTTGCAAATTTTTTATTATTTTTTTAAAATTTGTATCCCATTCAAGGTTGGGGCTGTTAGATTCAGCCTCATTTTCCTTGTAAAAGGTACAATTATGGTTTTGTTGGGGTTGACGTCTAAACCTTCCTGAAGACACCATCTATCTGATAATGACATTCAGGGCATTATGCATAAGGTCACTAATAATCATTTCATGCTTACCCGTATTGATGACTGTGAGGTCATCAGCATGTCCTAGCACCGTGTCCCTTGAGCGCTTAGTGCGATGAGAAGTTCATCTACCACAGTGACCACAGCAGTTGAAACAGTACACGCCTTAGGGGCATCCCTTGATTGCTGAAATTGTTGCAGAGTCACTCTATTCTCAAGCATGGCAATCCATGCAATTGCAGTTTCGTTAAAGCCCTTAGTTCTAGCCGCTCTTCTTATGGACTCATGTGAGGTGTTATCGAAAGCTCCCTCTCTATAGTCTATATCAATGAATGCGTATAGACAGGTTTCTCGACTTGAGTATGCTCTTTTAATCTTAGTGATAAGACTGTGTAGGACTCTCTCAGTTGATTTACCTGACTGATAGGCAAATTGATTCTTTTGGAGCGGGCTTTCCATTAGATTGAAGACCACTTTCACATAGGTACCAGCTGATGGGAATGTGGCCAAATTTGTAGCTTTGAAAATTTTTCCTAGGTTGTTACAAATCAATTAACTTATTTGTAATTTAGAGCAAGAGAACCTATGGGGTCGTTGAATTCAGAAATAGATAGTAAAAAGTGTAGCCCCTTTAGGTGCAAATGAAACCACTCAAATTCCAACAAACAATAATTTTATTTGGTATTTGTTAACAATGTAAGTACAAAGTACAATATTACTTTTTAAAATTTGAAAATTATAAGAGCTTGGTTTTTCCGGTGAATCCGATAGGTACGATATGTACCTTTTCCTATCTGGAGCTCTTCAAGTTGTTTCCTATATTCAGGAACGGGGATAGATTGCTGGTGTGACGTCACTCCAGCTGATCCAGACTCCAAATAATGATCTTGAGGAATAGGTACCCAGAATTTTGGAATATAAATTCTGTTCAAAAGCGAGTATCTTGTAAAGAAAAAAATTAGTATGGAATTAGCTTATTATAAAACTATTGTTGTGCAGACACTTCTTTCCAGTAGAATCAGGTATGAGCAACTATTGCAAATTGGAAAAATATTTCTATAAAAAAACAATTAAATAATTCAAAAAAAATAAAATAAAATACGGAAAATAAAGTAGAAATAATTAAGTAGGTAAGTACAGCAAGATTAAAAATAGATGCTCGTTAACATTGAGCAAAATGCTGCTTCTCGTGCAGTCGCGCTGAACAGGCATACATTTTAAAAAAATTAGGAAAAATTGAACAAGATAAAAAAATAAATTTCTAGATTTTCCCCAAATAGATAAATTTTTCTTGTAAGTTAAGGTACCTACTATTGGTACTACAAGATAAAGCTGAGGCTGAAATAAATTAAATCCCAGGAACTGTCTTGAACTTGAGATTTTTTAATTAAAACTTTTTAAATGAGCTTGAACCTATCCGCATTTCTATCGTAAAATTTCATCCTTTCAGCACTCTCCTTCCTCGAGAAGATAAGGAGGGAGTCAAACAATAATTGGCCAGATAGGTTTCTGCCTGCATTCAGTAAAGAGTTGATAGGGATGGACACACAAATTCGGTTTACATCCACTCTATTTAGAGAAAATGGTCTAATAATCCCACACTAACAATTAAATACCAAAGCAGCAATATCTATTTATTAGCCAAAACTCTGGATTGAATCTCCTCAGAAAAATGTGGTACCAAACAAAATGGAGGTTCACAATAGATAAAAAAATATTAAAATATAATATTTATATTTTAAAGGTAGATAAGATAAGATCTATCAGGTAATAAAAAACCAACATTGATAGTAGACACTGATGGTGAAATAAAACGAAAAATATCAAGGGAAAATCTAGAAATCTGAAGAGGAAAAAAAAATTACAAAGTGAAAATCGACTTGCCTGATCAACGGTCTGCAAAATAAGAAGAGAACCAAATCCCTTGAAGAAAACCAGTCTCGTGTTAATTTATACTTAACTGCTTAGTAGCCATCAGAAAACCACACTCATCACAAACAAAAAATACCGTGTTCAGTTCATTAATGAAACACCACGCTGATTAAATGGGAATAGATAAAAACACACTAGAATTATTTTAATTGTTTACAAATTATAATGATTTGAATTAAGGTTATGTTAGAAACACAAAACCACTAATAAAGGCTGTGGTCCGAATATAACCAGGGTTGTGCTTTCGCGGTGCGGAAGTAATCAAATTACTCTGGTTCCTGGAAAAGTGGTTACTTTTGGACCTTCGTTACTTGAAATCTGGTTAACCAAATGTTAAAATAGTTACCGGCTATCGGATGTCGGTTCTGTTGGTTTCATCTGTAATTTTTGTCAATTATTTTTTATTTCATATTTGCGGTTCCCAAGTAACTGAAATGTTCACTAACCATCTGTCAACCGATTCGGTTACTTTGGTTAACGTTTGGTTATATTCGGACCATAGCCTAATTAGGTCATCAAGTTAAAAATAATCATTTCAGAGTCAGGAGTTAGAGAAAGACAGAAATACATTTATTTGCAGAAAACAGGATAAACATAATTTCTCCAAATAAAAATGTCAATCAATAAAGATAGTTAAAGAAACCTACTATAATTTTAAAATAAATTTATTAGAGGTACTAGATGGCGGTACGTTAGTACTTATCCTAATAACTGATATTTGCATTTTTATGCTCATTTTATTTATGGATAGATGGCAATACTGATATATTGAAATCGTAACAAGGTGTGGTGCTAATTCTCTCAGGTCCTGTTGTAGCACGGCGGAAAAGATCCCATCTTCACCTGGTGATTTGCAGGGCTGAACGCTATTCAGAGTCCATTTAATCTTGAAAGAAATACCTAAAAGGATTAAATTGCAACTCTGTAAAACAACATTATCTAAGTATAAAAGCATAGTTCATTATGAAGTCCAAAAG